AAAACAACAACACCTTGACTTTCACATAATGCAGGAGGAGCTGTTATCACTCATTCCCATATTTATTTATATTTCATGTACGTTTTCTGCTCCTATACTGGAAAATAGTTTTGAAATTTACCATTGTAAGGTATGCACAGTATCTGCACACCTTATATGCAAATACTGTGCTGGTAAACACCTCTGTGTGTCCCTGGGTTGCGGTGGCATGTAGAGTCTTTATATACAGTTGTGGTAAGAAGTTTGCACACACGGGCATGAAAATTAGATTGGAGTTTCTCTAATCCACACTCGGTCAAAAACGTACATATGCCCTCAAATATATACATATACTCACTTCAGTCTTTTAATGAGTGGTGCTGAAGGTTCTATAATGCCATTCAACTTGCCAAGGCCAAGGCCTGTTAACATCTCATTAGTATTCATGATAGACTGCAACTGATAAGTTCTCTTTGCAGCATAAAGAGCATTTATTTGACAGCCCTCATTGGATTTAACTCAGAACAATAAATAAAGCTGAATATGTGATTAACAAGCGTGTGTCACGGCCAAGCAGCCAAACACAAGGAAATGGACTCGGATGCGGACACTACTCAGTTACGCAGGAACTGTGAGCAAAGTTAACTTTATTACAGAATTCAAAGAGCAAGACTAAATGCACAAGGATGCTGAACACATCTAAACACATCTAAGAAAGGCAAGACAGAATATTTAATACGTTACGGGAGGCAGAATTAGCATTGCCTCGCTGAAACAAAAACAACTTAACTCCTTGAGGGGATAAATACTGTGAGCGGGCACTCAGCCGCAATACTATGAACGCAATACTATGAACGCAATACTATGAACGCAATACTATGAACGCAATACTACTTCTTCTTTCACGAAGATACTAAGAACAGAAATATGCTGTTAATCTACGAGCAGAATTCAGGCGCTTTAAAGTCACACATAGAGAAACACCACAAACTGACGGACTGAACTATCCAAACTAAAAGTGGAATGCTGAGTTATCACTGGGTTACCAGGGGAGTGGGGTCCGTGAGGGAGTCTTGGGGCTGTCGTGGACCGGAGGGGGGAACCTGACACCGGGTAACATCCGGAGCAGGAACCGTGAGATGAAGGCAGGGAAAAGAGATCTTACAGTCATTGGATGCAGGCGAAAACAAAGCGTGGAAGGGGGGGTAGTGGTCCGGGTGCGAGAACAGGTGAGTCCAGGAAGAAGCTCCGTTAATTTCCGAGGCCAAGCGGGGGGGCAGGCAGGTAAAGAGTTATGGAGAAGCTGCGAGCTGACCAGCGGATAAACAGCAGCTGTGACAGTAGAAAGCACTGACGTCCAGGAGATAGTGATTTAGTAGATGTTCTGGCGGGGAGTGCATGAGAACGCTGGTCATAAAAAGCCCGCAACCTGATTACTCGCAGTTGAGGTGATGACAAGGAGGCGCGGCGGCTCCGCCCCGAGGTGGAATCACCAGCACGTGGGGCGGAGCCGCACTAACCCGGACCATGACAGCGTGTTACCCTATGAGTGTGGTGTCCCTCTATTCTCACTCAGATTCAGCATTTTGTCATCATGTCCAAATCCAAAATACCAAGATAGTGAAAGGTGATGTCACAGTGACTACAGCCATCTTTGGTATACAGTCTGTGTGCTGTACTGGTAATCAGTTAGCATTTTTGTTGCCGTGCAACAGTAGTGGAAAATTATGAGGACAGAACAAATAACCTTTGCTGAATTTGATTTGAAGACTTTTGAATTACGCAGTATATTTTTAACCATCAGTACCCACGTTCCCACAATCTGTCTGATTCCATTCATTTGTTCGGCATCCGGTGCACTACTCTAATGCTTCAGAGACATTTTATTCAATAAGATCAAAAATCTGGAACAACAGAAAGAAGGGAGGAAATACATGAATAATTAATGAAAACCATGAAAGCTTTCAAATTAAATTAAACGAGTTTATTAAAATGATTTTTTATAAAACATGTTGCTATCAGCCTTAAAAAAATAATTTTGAACAGTCACTGTGTGTGTGTGTGTGTGTGTGTGTGTGTGTGTGTGTGTGTGTGTGTGTATATATACACATAGTGTGTGTGTGCCTATTTAACAGCCTTCCTCGGGGGAAACAACCGCTGATTGAGGGAGAAACAATCAGCGAGAGCCTTGTTATGTGGAACCCTGCCATCAGACTTGCAAATAATCACAGCAGCTAATTGATTAAATTCAACAAACTCACATGTCCTCACACATGGCACAGGGTCTCCATCCTCATCATGTCAGCAGCGTGCTCCCAGGATTTCCCCAAACAATATTCCGCCGATAAAGCCGCGTCACTTGTCACAGCGATTTTCATCACCTTGCTAATTTGCAATCGATGAAGTGACAAAGTGTACATCTGATGGCTGCTCCAATAAACAGCGATGCAGATCTTACTAAACAAGCCAGTGTCTGACGTTTGGACTCATGTCTCATACACCCAGTGGAAGGAGCAACGGCTGATTTGTACTTGAAGTACTTTGATCACAGATTTACATCTTTTAATGTGTCACCTTTAGCAGCACATGTCTGTACACACTTATTTTAGCTCTGTTTTGTTCCTCACCACCTCCTGAGGGAAATGTCTGACCGCGTCTGTCTGCCGCTTGGCATTAAGCAGGTAGAGTGCAGTATATTTTTAAGGCTTTTTCACTGAATTGGAGCCAAAAACATTGTTACGAGAGCAGTGAAAGAAAACTAAAAGGGCCAAGTTGTGTGCCAGAAAATGTGCTTTTGTCAAACTCAGATGAAAAGTTTTAAAGAAAGCATTCAGATCTATTCATCAAACTCAAAAATATATTCTGCTTTAATGTCTTCAGCTGAAGCTACTTGTCAGACTCTGTGAAAGAGCAGAAAATGCTTTTATTCAAAGCTTTAAAAATAACTTTGAAAGTTTTGCTTGTCGAGACCTGTATGTAAAGCCGGTGCTATAAACAGTTTTTAAGATGGTCAAAGCTAATACACACCGGGTGCAGCCACTCAAAGTTTTTAGATTTTAGAAATTTGGAAGTAGACGAGGCTCCAAAGGCAAGAACAACTGCCAAGAACCTGACCTGACCGTTGCACCGAGCTTTCTCCTAGAAGAGGTGTTAGTAACTACACTTATCCAGACACGATTCTTTTATCCAAGTGTACAAAAAACAAGATCAGCTTAGAGCCCAAAGAATTGAAGAGAGCCATTGGGGGACACTGCAGCCAAGATCAGCTCAATTCAATTCAGTTTTATTTATATAGCGCCAAATTACAACAACAGTCGCCTCAAGGTGCTTTATATTGTAAGGCAGACCCTACAATAACACATACAGAGAAAAAACCCAACAATCATATGACCCCTTATGAGCAAGCACATTGGTGACAGTGGGAAGGAAAAACTCCCTTTTAACAGGAAGAAACCTCCGACAGAACCAGGCTCAGGGAGGGGCGGGGCCATCTGCTGCGACCGGTTGGGGAACGAGAAGGAAGACTGAAGGATAAAAGACATGCTGTGGAAGAGAGACAGACATTAATACCAAGTATGATTCAAGATGAATATGCTGTAACCCTTCTGCAGGTGAAGGCTAATCTTGTTGCCTCTGGCCCACTCAGGCGAGGCTTACAGGTTAAACATGTGTGGAAAGCTTCCCAACAAAGGAAGCACTCAGGCCACCTCACTAAAAGACTATCAGGAGTAGCATAATATGTGTTAATGCTTCATCAATTTCAGCTTGCAGCAAAGAATCTTTGATGGGGTGGCTGTAGCTCAGGTGGTAGAGCAGGTCATCTACTAATTGGAAGGTTGGTGGTTTGATCCCTGTCTGCTCCAGTCTGCATGCCAAATATCCTCGGGCAAAATACTAACGTCAAGTTGCTCTCTGATGCAGTGTTAATGTTAGATAGAAAGCAGTGCCTGTGTGAATGAGGCGAGCTGTGCAAAGCTCTTTGAATGTCAAAAAAGGCGCTATAGAAGAACCGGTCCAAGCACCTGAGCTATAAATGTGAAGGGGCTTCTCTTTCATGACTTTAAATCTGTAAACTGAAAATGTAAATTGAACACAAGTTCAAAAACACTTGATGTGATTATGAACTTGTGTTTGAGGTTTCAGATGTCAGTTAAAACATATTTTGTAGATTATGCTCACCATTGCAGTCAAAAAGGACAAGAAAGCAGTATGTGCTGTTTGCATTGTGGGTTCTTTGTGACTAACAAGCCCTGTCATGTCAATTGTGATATCTGGTTTGAAAAAATATGGCAAATATGTTTAAGTCCAGGATTCAAAACAGTAGTAGGAGTTGTCACTGTGCCTGGATCCATCTTTTATATACAGTGTATGTTTTCGACCACCGTGTCTTTGTACTGACCTAATCTTAGCTCTTCACCTCCTGACTTCAGTGCCATACACTCACAGCAGGCATCAGTTATGAAAATATTGATTTAAAGTTGTGTATGGTATTAGCTGGTTAGGTGGTGCATTTGTTTTTGTTTCAGACTGTTTTTTAAGTATAAAGATTTAATCCCAGTGAAAGGTCAGTGACTGGAAAATTGTTTTCTCAAAAATGTGCTGTTGACAGAAACAGAATCACACTGAGCCAGAACAACCATGGTGTCTATCTTTTAACTTCAGAGCATTCATCACATTGTTCTCAGTGTTTTTACCCACTTCCTGCCATGCTTTGATTATGCCTGTCACTTCATGTAAATGCAGTCTGCTGCTGATATTTCATTCCTGACAGCGTTCAGTATGCAGCAGCACCGAGCTCGTGTTTGCATGCGTGGCACCAGACGTCAACGCGTTGACAAATTTTCACCCTGGCAGAGAGGCTTTGTACGTTTTCAAGGATGTTTATATAATTCTGTCAGTTCTTCAATGAAAATGACACCTGAGGAATGAGCTCTCCTGAGCTGTAGGAGGAGCTCAGTGTTTTTCACTCATGAATGATGTTCAGCTCTTTTTAATCACAGTCTTCCTTGTTTGTCTTTCAGGCCAATAAACTCAGAACCAAGACCCTGCACAATACACTCAACCCAGTCTGGAATGAGACCCTGACCTACTACGGCATCACTGATGAGGATATGGTCCGCAAAACACTCAGGTACTGTCAGTGCTACTCACGTGTGTCCACTTAATGAATGGAAAGAGAAGAAAGGGATGAAAGATGTGGAAAAAAGAAGAAAGGAGTGGTTGGACATATGGATACAAATGAAGAAATAAAACGAAGGAAGGAGGCATGGGAGGGAGGAAGGAAGGAAAGAAGGAAGGAAGGACGTATGGGAGGAGGGAAGGAAGGAAGGAAGGACGTGTGGGAGGAGGGAAGGAAGGAAGGAAGGGGGTGTGGGAGGAAGGAAGGAAGGAGGCGTGGGGGTAGGAAGGAAGGAGGCATGGGAGGAAGGAAGGAAGGAAAGAAGGAAGGAAGGACGTGTAGGAGGAGGGAAGGAAGGAAGGAAGGAAAGAAGGAAGGAAGGACGTGTGGGAGGAAGGAAGGAAGGAAGGAAGGGGGTGTGGGAGGAAGGAAGGAAGGGGGTGTGGGAGGAAGTAAGGAAGGAAGGGGGTGTGGGAGGAAGGAAGGAAGGAGGCATGGGGGTAGGAATGAAGGAGGCATGGGAGGAAGGAAGGAAGGACGTGTGGGAGGAGGGAAGGAAGGAAGGACGTGTGGGAGGAGGGAAGGAAGGGGGTGTGGGAGGAAGGAAGGAAAGAAGGAAGGAGGCATGGGGGTAGGAAGGAAGGAAGGATGTGTGGGAGGAAGGAAGGAAAGAAAGAAGGAAGGACGTGTGGGAGGAAGGAAGGGGGTGTTGGAGGAAGGAAGGGGGCGTGGGAGGAAGGAATGAAGGAAGGAAGGAAGGGGGTGTGGGAGGAAGGAAGGAAAGAAGGAAGGAGGCTTGGGAGGAAGAAAGGAAGGGAGGAAGGAAGGAAGGAAGGAAGGGAGGAAGGAAGGAACTGGGTGTGGGAGGGAGGAAAGAAGGAAGAAAGGGGGCGTTGGAGGAAGGAAGGAAGGAAGGAAGGAAGGAAGGAAGGAAGGAAGGGGGGTGTGGGATGAAAGAAGTTAAAGGGAAATAAGGAAGAAACCCCAAAAAAGAAGGAGAAGGGTAAACGAGTAAGGAAGCAAGAAAATAAGGGAGCATTACATAGTGAGGTAAGTAAGGAAGGAACACAGGTAGGAAAGATGAATAGAGGGATGGATGGATGGAAAAAGCAATGTAAGGAAAGAAGCAGCAGGGAAAGCAAGAAAGGAACCAAGGAGGCAAGGAAGAAGAGAAGGAAGAAAGGAAGAAAGGAAGAGGCAGGAAAAAATGGGGAAGGGTGGAAGAAGGTTTAAAGGGAAGGAGCCAAAGGAAGGAAGGAACAGAGTAAGCAAGGAATGGAACAAGGAAGAAAGGAAGTAGCAAGAGATACAAGGAAGGAAGAGAAAAATGAAAATAGAGGAATAATAGGCAAGAGGAAGAAAATGGAAGAAAATAAAACTTAACCAAAGAACGAAAGGAAGTGAAGGGGAAATAGAAGACAAAGTAAGAAAATAACAAACACATCTTATAAGGACGGATATAAGGGGGAAAGGGTGTGTGTAGTGAACAAGAAGAAAAATAGAAGGGAGAGTTGAAAGGCAGAGAGGGATAGAATAAATCTGTCTTTTGTTGTTTTGGTGTGCTTAGCTGCCGTGGATCTGTTTTTAAAGGCTTCAGAAGATCATTTTCAGGGAGCAGTGATGTTTGACAGTTTCTCTTCTTCTTGGTTTCTGTTTTAGACTAACTACATTACAGCCTGTGTTTAACCACAGCCTCTCAAGCAGAAGTGAATGATGATGTTGCTTTTCCTCTTTCTTCCTTTTCACTGCGAGTTTGCATGCCGAGTCTGGAATAGCTTCAGATCGTAATAACAGTTGGGAAATCCTTTATTTGTCAGATTTCCAAATAGCACTTCTGTTTGGGTGAGAGGACTTCCTGTTTGTTTGGTTATTTGTGTTTCACTACAACACCTGAGAACACACTAAAACTCCATCTTCCTGAGATAAATGCGGTGCCCTTATGCAATGAAAGCACTTTGTTTTTATTACTTCACCATTCTTTGCTCCTGTATTTTTACCAAAGTGTTAACACTGTACAATCAAGTGGCGGAGGTAGGTTATGCAATCATATGCATAATCATTTCGTACATCCCAGGTGGGCCGTATGCAGTGGAGGATTTCAGTTTGCTTTTGTCTTCACTTACCCCCAAGCACCCCAGTCGCAAATGTGTTTCTAGAGTTAATGTTATGTGCTGGAATGCCGTGAAAACATTTCAGGGACTTTCACAGCATTTCATTTACCGGCTCCATCGATTTGTCCTCCAGTTCACTTCCTCAAGATAAATGTGGGTGGAACAAGTCCTCAGCTTAATGATCCTTTTGGTTTGCTTGTTCCTCCTCTCTGAAAAAAAGTGTTGTTCCTGAAATAACACACAGGTGTGTTTCTACTTCAAAAAGCTGGAAAAAGTCCCCACTAGTCTGGGTGGTTAGGGATGTTTTACATGTTTTATATTAAAATACACCCTTGTAAAATAAAGCATTGCAAAAGTTGTTTTTCCGTTAGCAGCATGCCGAGGTCCACCCACGAATCTAAACTGACCCCTTGAGCCGACATTTGACATGCACTCATTGAAAGGGCGCCCAATTTTTAGAGCATTGTCCACATGTAAATACTGTTTACTGTGCATGTGCATGTTTATCTTGTTTTTCGACAACAGACTTGCACCATGTTACTGTTTGCATGAGACGATTTTCTCCAAACGTAAGACTTCTCGCTCTTTGTTCAACTTTGATAATAATAACCATTATCTCCAGACTTCTGATTGGCCATCATTTCTATATTTTTTTTAGAGTAATAGGGTTTTCTTGCCCTTGACAGTGCTGAAATCATCTTTTGTGTTTCCATGTGGAAGTGGATATTTTGCACATAATCACATAATCTCCACTTAACTGTTTTCTCTTTGAAGGTCTGGTATTCACACCTCAAGTTACCTTTGGGACTTAATTTATTAAAGATCCCTATTTATGTCCTTTTGGGCTCTGCTGGAGGTCTCTTCCTGTCAAAAGGGAGTTCGCCCTCTCCACAGTTGCCAAGTGCTCCTCATAGGGAGATATTGTAATTGTTGAGGTTGTTGAACTTAGTTAAACTGTAACTTCTTTTTTTTTTTTTGCCTGCTTTTTCTAATTTCACTAAAACCTCGACTGTTGTTTGGGGTAAAATACTCCTCTTCACAGCTGTAATCTTATTTAAAACATGAGAAACTGGTGGTGACAGACAGATCTCACAAATGCCATAACCCAATATGTCAGGGCACAGATGCCAAACGACAAAGCGGTGTTCAAAATGTCTTCAAAGAGTTCCAGCCCATTCTGAGAAGCAAGCGCTTACTAAGAAGCAAGCCCGTGCTAAGAAGTGAGGTTTCTCTGAAAGTCTCTCTTCTTACAATCAGTTAACACTAATGGGAATGTTTTATGCTGCTAACATTTTGCCATTAAATACAATGTTTATCTAGATACAGTACTGTGCAAAAACTTCTTCATATTTATCTAGGAAGATTAGAAATGGGTGCAATGATTTATTGAAACATGCAAGCATGCATGAAGCTACAGTATAAGCTACAGTTCTAATGAGCTTTTCAGTATTTGGTATGATGACCTTTGTTCTTCAACACAGTCGAACTTTCTTACAATTTCTTTAAGTAGTCTTCAGGACTGGGTCTCCAGCCTTCTTAAAGGACATTCAAAGCTCTTCTTTGAATTTTAGCTGGTTGTTCTTCTGTTGTCTGTCACGATCCCACACTGCTTCAGTATCGTTGAAATCTGGGCTCTGAGGAGACCAGTCTGTGACTGATAGTGTTCCTCTGTGTCTTCTTCTATCCAAGTAGTTTTTTAGTCTTTCATGATGGTATTGTGTGATGGATTAAAATCAGATGGTTCCTTTTTGCGTTTATAATTCTATTGAATTTTGCACCAATGGCTGAAATCAGCCCCAAACCACGACAGACGCCATGTTTTTCAGGTGGCTCTAGACCCTCACAGTCATATCGCTCTCCTGACCTTCTCTGGACCTCCTCTGTAAGACCTGATGATCAGTCTGGTTCTTGTTTAATTTGGCAAACTTCACCTCTTTTCTTCCTGTTTCCCTTCCTCAAGAATGGCTTCTTCACTGCTCCCCTTCCACTGAGGCCATTTCTGATGAGGCATAAACAAACAGTAGGTGGATCAGCTGAAGAGCCCGATGCATCTCGCTGGTTCTATGTCAGGTGTTTGCTGTATCTTTTTTCGCATTTCCTCAGGACGTGACTTTCAGATACTGTTTTTTTAGGCCTGTCACTTTGTCCTCCATTTGTCCAGCAAACAAGACAGAAACAAGGGACACAAAACATTTTTTATCACCTCCATAAGTTTACACAAGTGACTACCAAATCATCACAGAATGTTTGCAAAAGTTTTATTGCATTACTTCTAATAGCTTAAATGTATTTTGTGAAAACATGCTTTCCTACTACACAATATAAGCTGCAAAGCGCTCGCTGTACTTCTGGGACAGCTGGAGTAATTGCTGGACTGCAGTGACCGACTGTCAACCTTATCGACGCGCTGCAAATATGTGACTGTATTTTGCTGATTATTTTGTGTTGCGGAGCAGAAAAAAAATACTGTATTGTTACTGGACTGAATGCCACAACAACAATGAAGGCCTGAAGCAAATGTAGCAGAGATGAGATGTGACAGACACTGTGCACACAAGCCAAAAGATCTATTCACACATAGAAAACACCTTTATTAACCATTTTCCAGAAACAATAGACTGTGAGAAAAGCATCCATGCTTCCAAAACAGCGCAACCTATTTCTTCTTGGAAACTGAAATTTGAATTCAGCACCTGTCCAGTTATTTTCACTGAGAGTCTGATTGCATCACGTCCCATACAGTCTACTGTATTAGTGATGCATATTAACGTACATACAACATCCTAACGCTGTGCGGTTCCTAAAGGCTGCATGTTTTCCTCAGTATTGCAGCTGATTATGCAGCGGAAAAGCACTTGAAACAAACAGTATTCCCCAACACAGGCATGCTGGAGCCGTGAGTGTGAATCATGTCATGTTAGGGCGGTGGGCGCTCTCTGCATTTATTGAAAGCATAGGTCTGCAGGGAGCACCAATAATTGGCTTTCATTATAAACTTAATGAAATGCTGGCGAAGAATATAGATCTCCAGTAAAACACAAAGCTCATTTTGTGGCCCCGTGCACCTTTTGACTGCAAGAGACCTTTCGGTTCCCCATCAATCATTAGCTTTTGTGACTGTAGCCTACTGTGTTATATTATAAATCCACGTCTTTATTGTTGTTAAGAAAGGACGCCGTCTTGCACTGAAAAGAGGATTTGTTTTGTTTGTGTGTTCAGTGGAAACAAATGCAAAGTGGGCACATAATAGAAATCAGTAAACAGGCGGAAAGGACAATGCGCCACAGCACAGTTCGATTCGTGCTGCACTAATTGAGTAAATAAGACGAGCAAATGGAGATGTGTTCAAGATGAATTCGTGACTGGGTCTTAAATGACTTTGACATGATGTCAAATTTTTCTCAACATCTTCTCACGTAGAGTTTCCCCTTCCATCTTAGTATGTTTGAATCTTTTGATCCGTGCACGGTTGAACGCGTCCTCGTGTATAATTATCTCATCATTTCCTGTCATGCTGATAGAGTCTGACAATGATCCCTGCAGAACTACTTGGTTGTAGCTTCAGTGCTCTGAGTGCTGTGGTCCTACAGATTTAGCAGCTGTGACTACAAAGTACAAATTGAAGCCCTGTGAAGGTGGATGGTGGAAAATGACTGGTTTTATGGCTTTAAGCCTCCTCTCAGCAACAAAGCCTAACCTAAACCTCGCTCTACTCATGTCCTCCTACACTTCTCTGTTCTTGTCATCTCAGGATTTCAGTGTGTGATGAGGACAAATTCCGCCACAACGAGTTCATCGGGGAAACGCGAATCCCTCTCAAGAAGCTGAAGCCCAATCAAACCAAGAATTTCAACAACTGCCTGGAGAAACAGTTACCTGTAAGTTCACTCCATCCCACACACACAGCTGCATTTTTATGTTGTTTAAACGTGATCGTGTTGTTGTTTCTTGAGGGGCTGTACTCACAACAACATTTTAGATCCTAAAGATTGTGCCAATATTACAGACATGGCTTTGCTGTCTGATAGACATGTTATTAAATGCCATGTGGAAGTTTAAGTCAAAATTTCCACCAAACAAGAAGTTCTGTATGAATATGAATATCATATCGTATCATTTTATCGATTATAACAAAAATAAATAAACAAAATCTTCCTGATGAAGAGAAAACCAAACACATGATTTGCATTACATTGATGACATTCTAATCCATGTTTGTTTTTCCAAATGTGCAAATCACCATGCAACAAGTGACACTGAATTTAGATGCAAATATAGGTGTGACAGCCCTTTAGTTATCAAATTAGTGGGCAGTTTAACCTAATTCGATTTGAAAAACAACAACATACATTTCACATCTTTACTGCAATAATCTGATAGATATTTCTTGCTTTGTAAAGCTCACTTTTCCTCTTTTTGCACATAGAAGCAACATATTTCTGTCCCAGGTGCAGTTTTTGCCAACGTATCTCAGTTTTGACCAGACTGCTGTTTCACCCTACTTTCATATTACTTCTTACTTCTTGGATCCTTAGACCAAATTGTAAACCTTACTGTGTTCGGTATACATCTGCCTAGCTTAAGATTAAAGAGTAATTTAGTCATCATTACAAAGCATAAGGTTGTTCCAGTATATTTCCAGTGGAGTCACTTTATTCTGCTAAGAAAAACACTTCAAATACAAATCTGTGAATAAATAAATTGATCATAAGAAAGAAGCTAACACTTCTGATAAACAGCTCATGTCAGCAGAGCAGAGCTGACATGACCTGCTTAATTAAATAAAACTGCCTTGAGAAACAGTAAGCTTGAAGTCATTGTGTTTTTTCATTATTTATTTGTGTGTAACAGTGTAACTGCATAGCATGTAATACTCAACATTATACTCTGCTCAGTGCAATATCTTACGTGTAGGCCGAGACCATAATCATCAGCAGCAGTCCATCATTTTCAGTGTATTAAGTGACTCAAGTGTGGGTTAGACTTGGCAAGCTTGCTCATGTTCACAAAGACCAGCACGGGAACAGCTTGATTTTCCACATCTGTTGCACTGTATGACCATCTGACCGGGAGTGATGGGCCGTCAAGGCGGTGTAACTTTGACGACATCTCTCTTCAACATGCATGAATAATTGATTTCATAATGCTGTGCCGATTTGATCTCTGCTTTTACCTCCCAGGTTTCACAGTCCGTGCCGGTGAACTTTCAAAACATCTTTATCCTTCACCTACGTTTGACATTGATGCCTAGGAAAAGTGGGAGAACCTGTGCAATTTTAAACTGCACCAAACTTTAGTTTGCATTAAGTAAAAGGTGACCCGTTATTATCCACATTTTAATCACAGTTAGTGCATTATGTTGTTTAATTTTGGTGGGGGGTTTTTAAAAAGGGAAAGAAACTGTTTAGGTATCCCCAAGAGATCGGAGGTCTCAGACCTTAATGAGCTTGTTAAGACTTTGGTTTGTTCACAATAAAGTTCAGGTTATGTAACTTTCAAAGCTTTATAAGCACACTGACTCTTCAAACCTTGGCTCTTCTGGCCTAGCACTCTCAAAACTGAAATAATTGATACCCACTAACCAGACGAAGCAGCTAGTAAAGTGTTTTCAGGTATCTGTTTCATCAGTTTGTAATGTCAACTAAGAAACAGCAGTTGACAGGAACAATGCACCTGAAGGTAAAGTCTGAACCACTAAAACCATTTCAGAGAGGGTCATAAACCCTTGTTTTGAATGTAAAAGTCTTTCAGGAAGATTTATCAAAATAGTGGTGCACTGTCCTACCGTTCATTAACACTAGGGATGGGTATCGTTTAGGTTTTATCCGATACCGGTGCCAAACCGGTACTTTTGAAAGGGTGCCGGTGCTTAAACGGTGCTCGAACTGGTGCTTAAAGAATGGAGAACACAAAATTGGTCCAAAAACCTCTCATGTTTAGCTGTTTTGAAAATTTCCCACTCGTGGGACTAATAAAGGTATCTTATCTTATCTCTTATCTCTTTTTATGTAAAAAGATAACAATGTTAGTCTTTTCTGCAGCTATAGGTCATATATGGTATCACTCTTGGCTGGAAGCAGTGCTTAAACAATGGGAAAAAAACACCAACTTTGTCCAAAAACCTCTCATGTTTAGCTGTTTTCCACTTTTTCTTTGGTCATTTTAGCCTTTTTGGCCAGAGTGAAGGGAGTATCTGCCATCAAACAAGAAGACAGCCGCATGTAACTACGACGGTGTTTGCTAGTTCACCTTACATGCATTAGTTTAATAACGTGGTTAGCCTACTCAACGTAAATTACACACGAACAATATTAAGCTACTCACTCAGAGAAGAACGGCTGCTGCTGCCATCATCATCCATCATCATTTCTGCTACACTGGCAGGGCTAGGGGCCAGGACTCTCCTCTTCGGGTTCTTGGGGGATGTTGCTAACTCCGGGTCCGATAACAGGCAACCCACCCGCAGTAGATGTGCACGGTGTGAGGTCTTGCAGCAAGCTATCAAATACGGTGCATTTCTCGGCTTTTAAAAAACGCTATGCGTCACCAGGTGTTTCATCAGATTCGAGGAGTTACCTCCTTTGCACAGTATCACCTTAAAGCACTTGTTGCAGGCTGCTGAGTTTGCATATTTTGCTGTGGAGTACAGCCAGACTTTTGACCGCTTCGCCTTGGGCATTTTTAATCTGTAGCTCTGCTCTAAAAGAACGTACGTACCTGGGCCCGCCTACTATCCTCAGAAAGGTAAAATGATTGGCTAGAATCCAAAGTGTATGACATCTCAGGAAATAAAGCACCGAAATGTGCGCTGCTTTTCGGTCTGGTTACTACCGTTTATGTCAGAACCGGTGCCATAAAGGCACCAGATACCGGTACCCATCCCTAATTAACACCTGCCGCAATTTGGCACCCTAGGAAAACTCATCATAGAAGCATACGATTATTTGCTCATGTCAAAGTTCAGAGCCAGAACAAATGAGCAAACACATCTTTAAATGCTGATCAGTTGAACCAAACTCTTGGATCACTAGCAGACATTTTGGGGGGGGGGGTGCAGATTTCATTTAAAAATAAACAGAGTTTTCCAACTCTTAAACTCAGGATAAAATCAGTCCTGCAATCTGGCTTATTCATCCAAAACAAACCTTAAAATCCACAATAGGCAGTGTAAAGAAGCAAAAGCTGAAGACTTAGCAGATATTTTCTGATGTTTAGCAATCATTTCACTGTTTCTGTTCAGATACACAGCTGCATGTCAAAGCCTGAGCTACAGTTCTGCACGGAGAGTAATTAAGGAAGGCATGCGGTCTGTTTTATTGATAACATGTAACTCTAATTAGTTTCACTGGGACAGAATATGTGTGCGAACAAATTTAAATATCTGGTAATACTAAATCCAGATAATAAGTGGTGCATTATAATAGTATAACAAAAGCTCCCAACAGGGCATGGCATGGTGCTCCATATAATAGATGTTGGTAATTGCAAGAAACAACAGGACCCGCGAGGATTTAGCTTAAAGCACATGACAGATTAGAGCCTTGGGTTTTGAGCCCATAAGTGGGGTGCGGGAGTGGATTATGCGTTATGAGAGCATGGGAGTGGAGTGAAGTATCATTGAACTGTGATTGAATATCCTTTTGAAAATGCCTACACAGTTTATGGTTTTAAAAAAAAAAGTGGATGCAGTGTAATTCTGGACCATCCATATTTGGAGTGTGGAGCACAGTCTTGTGTTTGGAGAGACAACTTCCTGTTGCTTCACTCATATGCTTTGTTGTCTATGTGGGAGTGAGAAATAGCATCCAAAAATAGAAAAATATGCTTGTGCATAAACTGGGACCAAACAGCTACTATTCATTGAACAATCTGGGCTTTGATTTTGTACCGAGGTTTGTTTATGTAAGTGCTTCCAAAAATGACCACATTTAAAGTGTTTTGTAGTCATTTGCCATTCAAAGATTTGAGCATTTTCGGGAGCAGAAAGCAGTATTAGTGTTAAAAATGCTATTATTTGTGTTTAGTTAGTAGTTTAGTAGTAGGTTAGTAGGTAAAGCGGGTAAGTTTACAATTTGCAACGTTGCATCTAAATGTTTGTGGCAAAAATCTGCATGTCTAAGAGATAACAACCAGATGAGGGATTGCAAAGTGTGATCAGTAGATACTGTCAGTGCTGACATGAAACAACGTGACTCACAGGTATATCTGCATGACACTGCTGCCTGCAGCTTTACAACAGCTATCTACAGCAAAGAATACCTATCCACGCACAGCAGACATGCTCTTTCATTTACGTTACTATTCGTTTAGTAAAACTAGAGTTGATTTTAGAAGATGGGTAGCTCAGATCATCGCTGTATAGGTTTTTAAACAGAGCAGATATTTGCGTCAAAGGTGACAAATGTTTCATTTCTTCTTCAGATAAGATTCATGCTATTTTGGACCACCCTGTCGTATGTCATGTAACAGGGCCTCATAGGCCTTTTTCACACAGATTGCTTCAAGGCAAAGTGAAGTGAAGCTATGACTGTTGCTGGTTAAAAAGAGAAAAGGGTGTTCTGGCAGGTAGCTTTCTGCTCTGTTTGCGCTTGGATGAGGAGCTCTGTCTGAAAACAGGACGTTGTTTTGTGTGCCGGGGAGAATAGAGCAACCATTTAATCATCTCATCCAGCAGCTCACACTGCCTGTCTTATTGATGGTCTTGACAGTGGAGCCTTTTAACTGGCTTCTTCGGCTTATATAAAAGTCAGTAGATTGGGTAGAAAACACAGAAAAGCGTTGATGTAACCTTAAAGTCTTAAAGGTCATTTTTCAGGGTCATTCTGGGTCAAACGCTGCCTGAGGGAAGCAAAGGACACCTACAGGAGGAAGGTGGAGC